TTTCCCCCCAGCCCCCCACCCTGGGGCAGAGCCACGGGCACAGCCACCCCCAGGCAGGGCCCATGGGGGTGCCTGCCCATCCCAGCGAGCCCCCTCCCAGCCCAAAGACCCCCCCATGCCACCCAACTGCACCCATGGGACTGGACAGGACAGGGTGGGGGGCACAGGGCAATGGGGGGGTGGGAGCCGTGACATGTGGGGCTGGCTGCTGCGCCCACCCTGCCTGCAATGCTGGGGACATGGGGACAAGCTGGGGGACACGAAGTGGCACCCCCAGGGTGTGATGGGGCAGGTGACACCGGTGGCCGGTGTCCCCAGGAGGGGTCCCGGTGTCCCCAGGGGGGGTCCCGGTGTCCCCATCTACCTGCCGGTACACCTCCCTGCTGCGGAGGGCAGCTGCCTGCTGCTGGGGGCCCAGTGTGTAGATGACGGAGCGGTACCGGGTGCTCAGGTCCTCCTGCTGCTGCTTGCCTGGGGGGGGGGGAGGGCAGCACCCAGGAGGGGGTTATGGGGCACCCTCTGGCCCCACCGGGCACAGTGCAGTGGGCACTGCCTTCACCCATGGATGGGGAAACTGAGGCACAGGGGGCAAGGCATAGCTGCAGAGCTGGCTGGGGGGGGCGTCCTGCTGAAGGGGTCAGCAAGGGAAGTCTCTGCGAGCCTCCGGCTGCATCTAGCACCAAGGGATGGAGATGCCAAGGACCTCCTGTTGGACCCCATTTGGGGTTAAGACCCCCCAGACCGGGATTCTGAGGCTGCGCCAGGGCTGCAGGAGGACCCATGGCTGCTGCCCGGCCCCGGTGGCTCGTCCCTACCTTGTGTGGGGTCATGGTTCTCCCAAAAGACTTTGAGAAGCTCCTTGTAGCTGAGCTTCCAAGGATTGAAGATGACCCTCACCACCTCGGCATGCTCCATCAGCCCTGCAGTGCTACCGGGGGAGCCCCTCACCGTGGCCTCCTGCCCTCCCAGCCTCCCACTGCCCCAGGATGGCGGGGGGGCCATCGGCTGATGGACCCTTCTGCTAGGAGCTGAGGTCTGGCAAATTCGTGAGACTTGTGCAAAGCAGGAGCGTGGGCAGGGCTGGAGGGAGGGAGTTGGATACAGAGGGGCTGCAGCACCCGCTCACCCCCCGGGACCCCCCGGACCCCCTTCCCCAGGTGCCTGGGGGGGGTGGGATGCCCAGGCCCCCACCCCTGCACAGGGATAAAGCCCTGGAGACAGCAGCCGGAATAATATTTCCTGCAGACAGCTAATCCTCCACAAAATGTTCCCCAGCTAAGCCGGGCAGCCGTCTGTCCGGGCTGGGGGGTTTGGGGGGCTGGGGTGGGGGACAAGGGGGATCAGCATCCCACGGACACCAGAGAGCATCCCACGGGAGCCCAGGCCAGGGCAAGGCAGGGGCTGTGGGACACCCTGTGATGCTGGATGGGGACATCACCCCATTGTGGGTGCGGGGGACGTTGGGGGGTGGCCATGGTGGCACAGAAGGAAAGAGGCCCCTCGTTACCTGTGCACACTTCTTCGTAGATGGGGTTGGGGGGTGAAGCCTCCCGCGTAGCCCACCTGGGTGGAGGAGAAGACCCCCGGCATCTTCCAGAAGAGCTGCTCTGCTCCCCAGAAGCACCCCATGCCTGCGGGGGGACAGGCAGGGAGTGGGCAGCTGGTTGCCTTCGCTCAAGGGAGGGGTGAGATGGGCTGGGGGGGCCCTGGGGGCAGCCCCGGCTGCCGGGACCCCCCTTCCCTGTCACGGGGGAACCACTCACCAAAAATTGCCGTCTGTGTCTCCGCTGGGAATGAAGGGACCGTGGGGTTCCCATTGACGGCATGGGTGGCTGCAGGGGGGACATGGGGTCAGGACCCCCAGCTCATCCTGACCTGCAGCTGTCTCTGCCCTGTGTCCCCCCCCCAGAAGCAGTCACTGACCCTGTCCTTGTCCCCTCCAGCTCCTTGGCCCACCTGGCTTCTGGCCCATGTCCTCTCATGGTCACTCTGATTCTAACCTGGCCCCCATGGGGGTCCTGGGCTGTCATCTTCCCCCAGGGATGCTCTGGTACCCCGTGCCCTGCCTGGTGCTGCCCACCCTGCGGGCATGTCCCCTGCCCCAGGGATGTCCCCCCCACCCCACAGATGCTTTGGCCAGGGGGAACCTGCCCAGGGTTGGGGGGGCTGGAAGGGGAGGCTGGGGGCATCCATCCCCCCAGGCTGCCATCTCTTAGACATCCCCACCCGGCCAGCAGCAAAGGGAAGCTGAGACCTGGCTGCTCATGACACTTGTGGAGCACAAAAACCCTCCGTGCTTCTCACCCTCCTCCTTCTGGGGCTCCCAGACCCTCTGTGTCCCCCACAAGTTCCCTGCGAGGATGGTCCCTGGGAGCAAACCAGGGGGTTACAGCATTCCTGGAGGAGACAGAGGAGCCCGGCCCCCCCAGACATGTCCGGGTGATCATGAAGGGGGGGGGCCACTAGGATCAAAATACCCCAGC